GATGTCTGATTTCTTATTAAAAAATGCGTTTCTAAAGTGCATAAACTTTTGGGATTGGCTGTATAGCCAATACATCCTTAAAGGAGAGGTTTTTTATTGCTCCCATCGACAAAAGAGAATCTGCTGCCTTGGAGAGATTATTCTCGGCTTTCACGGGACTCGAATAAAAGTTGTTTGACGGCGAAACCCGAAATTGCCTCGCTCAGGTTGCGCAATTAAAACACCGGCTGGCCCTATTCTTTCTTTCTTTCACGAACAATCGCCTTATTACGGGGTTGCATAAAAATTATAATTTCACGTTATTTAATCAAATCTTATGTCTGTAATAATAATTAATATACTCGTTAATTCGTTTAACGCAGGACTTGTAATTTGAACAATGAAAATGAACTTAGGGCAGTGGCTTTCTTCATTGATAATGCGGTTGGATTGCGAAACGCGAGGAGGGCGTTCCGCTGGAATTTTCGCGTGCGACGACAGCTTTCACGGCAACCGGAACAGGAGACGTTATTGTTCTTGTGTGTAGCGAACACCGGGGACAGCTGCCCAGGCATAATTACACAAAGGTGGTCTTGTCCAGAAACTGGTTCGCCGGTTTGCGTAACGCGAAGATGCGGAAACCGAAAGCCGAGTCCGAGAAGCACCGAAGAGTTACGTCACCGAACGTGTCCCGATGCATCTCATACGTGCCCGATCCTATCATCCGCCCCTTTCTCGTCCGATGCGTCTTGAATATTATAATTAACCATCGTAACTTCACTGACTCAGAATCATAATGATTCCAGCCTTGATATTAGACTGTATTTTCAATAAAGTTTCTAATACCAATTTCGATATTGTTTACTAAAGTTCAATTGACCAAAAGAATTTGTTATTTATTATAGTAACGAGGTAGATTTCACTTTATGCACACAGAGAGTCGAGAACTTCCTTAAGGAAGTGCGGCAGGTGTTTGAGATACCGTTGTACGTCCGTCGATAGTAAACGATTCGTGCAAATTAGCTTATACAATCCCTCACCTAGTTCCGTAATTGATCGATACTTATTAGCGATGTAATATTGCCACGCTTGCCTTGAATTCGATAGTTAACATTGACTTGTAAATCATTTTAAATGAATAGTTACGTGACGCTGCGTCAATAATGAATCAGTAAGAATTGTCACTTGGACTTGGCACGTAAACATCGAAATGTACAAATTAATTTCCAATTCTTATCAGGCGAAACCTGTTTCGATATTCTCGTTAGAATTGAACTTTGGATAACAGTTTTTTGTCTGAATTAAAGCGTAACGTTTACGCCAGTGAACTTAAAAAAAAGCGAGAAGTCACGCCTCGGTTTTCGTGGCCTCGGGGCGCGTATTACAGGGTTAAGGGGTCGTTTCTCTTCAGGATCGAAGTAGACACGAACGCAGTGATCCGAGAACGATCCGATCGAGCGCGGAATCCCTTTCGCTTTCGATTTCGTTCGCTCGATACGCCGCGGCTTGACCGAAAACTGGTCCGCCGGTTTGCGCAATCGGAAGACCGGGAAGTCTCCGTGCCTTTCCGCGAAACGTCCGCACGATGACTCGACTCTCGTCCACTTTCACCCGTCCTCGTCTCACGCGCACGCTTTTGAAATTCGTTCGAGAAAAAACGATTGAAACATCGGTTTCCGGGTAAACAAGTAAACCAATCAACGACTCGCTCTTTTTTTTTTATCCAGTAAAAGTAAAGGTGGATTGCACAAGTTCGATGGAGAGTAAATTGAAAAATAGTGAAATAGTTTGTCAAGGCCAGGTCGTTTCTGCGCACCAAGGTCGTGCTTTCAATCTCGGTTTAATTTTGTCAGAAAGCGAGCTGTGGTTATGGAGATGATTGCAGGGAGTGGATTTAAGTCAGAGGTAATAATACTCTGCCTAGTCGAACTGTAACTAGGATAATTATTACTAGGAACAATGCCTGCAATACGAGTACAATGTCACCGTCTTGAGCAACCGGCTTAATTCTGCAATTAGTTTACTCGCGGTAATTGAGTATCGCACAACATTTCGAATAATACAATTCGCTTAAAAATACCTTCTCGTTAAATCCTCTGAGGAAGAAAGATATAAAGCATCGTTCAAAAGCTTGTTTAACACTAGATTGCCCAAGGAAGTAATTTTGACTGGTTTTGGGCAAATGTACAAATAATAATGCATAAATTATTTTTTTTCCCAAGTGAAGTAAATTTTTGTTTATTGTTAACATTTACTAATAACTTGTTATATGACTGTAAATAATATAAAAAATATTAAAAATTAATTTTAGACAAATTTCTTTACACATTATTCTTTCACAATGCAGTCATTTTGACTGCTTTGAGCAATATAGGTATATACTAAGTTTCAGTCTTTCTAGTGTTAACAACATGCATATAAAAAGAATGTCGGGATCATTAAATGTGAAAATAATTTAAGATAGAGAGAATTAATTAAATCGCATGATCCTCTTATCTCGTACTGATCATCTTGAGTCAAGGCGACGTATGTACAGCACGCAGGAAAGAAAAACGGGCGATGAAAGTAAGGAAAGGGACTTATGTATTCGGTGAACGCGACAGGCGGATTTATGAACCGGAACTACGGGATGAACGAGGGCGTATCAAAATTCTGATATCGTGGCTTCTAACGTTGTAAACTTCCTTGGACTGGTCGGGTCCCTGAATAGACAAAAAAAGAACTGCTTATTATGGAAAAGAAACATTGCCTTGAAACCTCATTCTTTATCCAGTCCTCGTAACTCTTTCATTTTATAGATATCTAATGGTTTCTTTGAACACGTAAATTCAGACACGGTTGACATCGATTTGCAATTGTTGGTTCGTTCGAATTATTAATTAGAAGATAGACTGTGAGATAGTTGAAGAATTTTCGTCGATGGTTACAGAAGTTGAATAACTGAATTGATGCAACGCGTCCACTTTCTATTCCCTATGTCCAAATCGTGCGTCCTGTGACAACAGCCGGAGCCGGAGGGACATTAATTGAACGTTTCCCGATGCTCAAAGGGATGGGGACGGTAAACAACGACGACAGCGTATATTAACGCAATCGTTATGCAACCTCCACGAAACGTGTACACTTCCACGTTCCGTTGATTCGTATGGTCCCATAGTCGGGATTACAACGGCGTTTCGTAATTTTTGGAAAAACTACTACACCTTGCCGAATCGTCAGAACGACAACTCGCTTGTTCGGTCCCAGATAATTATCTATCTATCGTAATTACGAATTCCCTTTCCTTATGTATCGACAGCCGACGTTCCGTCCCGTTATTACCCCCCTTTCGCGTTGAAAACGAGGAATATCGGACATGTCACGTTCCATCGATGCATTAACTCCAAGTCGAACGATTTCACATTTTTAAAAGAAATACCGTGTTATAATCAGACCGCAGAATTTATTTCAAATCCAATCGATCGCAGTCTCGTATGAAAACCTGCAATCTATTAGGTTGGGGAATAAGTTCATAGCGTTTTTATAATTTCTTTTATTTTACAACGATTTGTTTGCTGTTTGGCAACGGGTAAGTATTCATTCGATAGAACTCTTTCTGCTCTACAAAACTATGTTAATTGTATTTTTGAGTTATTTAATTTTTTATTAGTTTTGAGGCTTAGAAATGGAATACCCAGGAGGCAAAAATCAACATTTTCGACACCTGCTCTTCTTTGCTTTTCATCGAGGTCAAAAAGCTGCCGAAGCAGCCCGGGACATTTGCGACGTGTATGGAGAAGGTGTCATAGGCGAGTCTACAGCACGGAAATGGTTTGCAAAGTTAAAAAATGGCGACTTTAACGTCGATGACACGTCCCGCAGCGGAAGGCCTTCTGAATTCGATGAAGAACGTCTCAAATCACTTTTGAAGGAGAACGGTCGCCAAACCAGTCGTGAATTGGCGGAAAAAATGAACTGCGATCATAAAACGATTCTATAATTGATTAACTTATTGATATAATTATTGTTGTTTGTTTAAATAAAAGTCTTCGGTAAGAACGCTACGAACTTATTCCCCAACCCAATATTATG